TTTTCACCGTTGGCAGCGGGTGTCGCTTGGGCTTCTGGGAACCCATCGCCACTATCTTGGCGACGCTAACATGTGTTTCTGGGATTCCCAGGTCCACAGCTTTCCCTTTGCCTTTGTCGGCCTTGGTCACGTTCCTGTGCAGTTCTGTGCTTAGTCCAGCAGCCTGCAGCATTTCCTTAGGGACCGTGCTACCTTTGTTCTCCTGCATCATGTGCAGCACAATGGCTGTTAGCGCCGAACACTGCTCAGTTAGTTCTCTCTGTCTTTGGTCCATCCTATTGATCGTTTCCTGTAGACTCATCAGTGTGGTAATCAATCTGTCATCTACTCCTTGCTGTCCATGGTTCTGTTGCTGTTGTTTTTGCTGCTGTTGGTGAGTCTGTCCATTCTGTACGATCTTTTGGTTTGTTTCTGTTCCATTGCTGCTCGCGATCTGTGCAAACGTTCGTTGCTTTGTAACTTTCAGTGCACCACCCTTTTGGTATTCCTTCACCGCTCTAATGTGCTCTTTGATGCTCAAACGCTCTTGATAAGCGGCACATTCACGTTGGAGATGGCCCAGTTGATGGCACTCTCTGCATCTTTTCTCCTCTTTGTCGCACCAGATTGTGTCATGTCCGTTAATGCGCACAGGCGTAGCCATGTTCTTCTCCATCTCTTCCTCACTCGAAAAATAAACAAATGCCTCTCTCAGATTCATGGTCTGTCTGCCATTTCTGCTAAACACTCTGGGCACTGTTAAAAACTCTGCCTTTTTCTCTCCAAGCAGCTCTTCCAGATCTTTTGCTCTGGTTCCGAAGGGGAGGTTTGCAATCTTCGCCACGTATTTCAATTCCCATGAAATTCTCTCACTCCCCACCATGCTCAAGCGAGCCAGGTCTCGTCCGATAAAAACCCATTTTCTGCCCATCTTTTGAATTTTTTCCACTGCTTCCACATCCCTAAAGGTCACTTTAACAGTGATCTTGATGCCTTTGGTGCATGGGCGTGTGTTGATCTTTTCAATTTCTCCGAACTGGGTCATCGCCGATCTGATGTGGAAGTCGTCTGTACGGGGGTGTAGTCCATACACTTCCACAGTTCTCTCCTGCTCTGACACTCGTCGAGCGTTGTCGATTCTGGTGAATAATTGTTGTTCAGCCATAGTGCCGTCCTCGAGTTCCTCGCTGACGCTGATTTCCAAAAGCATATCCATGTCTCTCTGTGTGCCGACTGCAACGCGGTACACGGTCTCTCCATTTTGACCTTTGGCCTTAGTCGGTCCGTCGATGCAGTTGATCTTGTCCGTGAGCAACATCATTTTCAGCTCATCCAGTCTCTGCGCATGGGTTTCTCCATAGATGCTGTCCGCGGGTGCTGTAGCCACCAAAAAACGCTCCTTGGTGCTCTTGACCTCCATCCAATTGTCGAGCTCTCCTGCTTCCGACATATCTTCATCTTGTTCGTCTGTCTGCCCGTCAGCGAGGGCTTGCTGCTCCGCAGCCTGCATGGCTTTCAGGCCCAACTTGCTGTTGTAAGCGGGACGGTGCTGTCCTGATCCGGAGGCTGCTCCGGCGACGCTCTTGGCACTCAGGGTGGTGGCCCTGGTGATTGCAGCGGTTTGTCCAGTCTCCGGAGCGCCTCCGGTGGGTTTCGGTTTTTTGGAGTTAGCCATTCCAGATTCCTCATCATCAGGCCGATGATGAAGCGGATTTTTTTGAATTCCGCCAAGCATGGTGTTTGCTGTCGTTGGCACTCTTGCTCGCGTACCAGGGGTAGGGGAAGGGGGGGTAAGGGAAGGGTTGTGTAATGTAGCGTCCGATTTCGATGATCGGAGAAGAGTTTTCCGGTGTATATGTCAGTTACATTCATGTGCTTTCCTGGATTTGATCCACGGACCTCCATATTGGGAGGCTCACCCATCCCACAGCAGTCACTGCCACCAATTTCAAGAAGAGCTATAAAAGTATCTCTTGCAAAAATTTTACAACTAGAACTATCAGGCTTGTATCTGATTGGTTGATTGGGGTGTTGGTTAAGGGGTATAATCCTTTGTTCGGGTCAAAGGGGCCCGGGTTCGAGTCCCGGACACCCCCAAGTTTTTGCCGATGATTCTTTTTGGGATTTGACAACTCATCGGCTTTCCGTACTAAGTCTATGTAACACACTTTTTTTGTTTATGAGATAAAAACATCAAGAAAAGAGACGAACCTCTTTGGAAAGTCTTGTTTTCCTTCGCTCTCCCTTTAAGCACTGTTGATATTTCCTTGAAGGTAATCACTGAAGCACTATTGTTGAATATGACACCTTTTGGTTATCTACAAGCTGTGTTGATGCGGACTGCAGGGGGGCTGGCAACCAGTTGAGCGCAAAAACTGCGAGCGTTTGATATAAAAACAAGGCAATGTGGAGATTAGAAGGCAGAAAGTGTGTTGCACGGACTTAACACAGAAATGGAGGATGGGTTGTACAATAATTCGAACAACCCGGGTTGTCCCTTGATCACCACTCTCCTAAACTTTTCTACTCCTAACCGCGACAAAAACCATAGGCAAAGAGAGAAAACCAAGGGCAAGCGAAAATTGTGGGACGAAAAAATAAAGCGGACGGAACATTAAGCGGGAATAGAGAGAAGAAAGCGAAGGATCGGCAGTAAAAAAGGGGAAGCATTTTATACGGTCTTACCATCAATCAACGAATTTTCCCCCCTAGTTGGGGACTTGGCGGCTTCCTATCAACCAGCCAGGTCCTGTTTAGACAGTAAACTTCGTTCCTCCTGCTTGGCGTCCCTTGTGCTGTCTCCATTTCGCTGCTTCTCTCCCCTCGATCCTTTCCCAGATGCCTGACAGGACTCTCTCCATTCCCAAACAACAGCTCGATTTGCTCCTTTCCTCAGGGACTCCTCTTCAGATATATAAGAAGGCACACAGTATCCAGCATCTGCACTGACACACATCCGGTCCCACCTCAAGACTCCAGACCTGCCACAAGTGCTGCAAGAACCACTGCAAGAGCTGCCATACGAACGATCTCCATCAAAGTACTCTCACACAAGCACCACAAGCCCTATCTAAGACCCTCACAGGAGCTCTTACAAGACCAGCCAGCACTACCCACCCGCCATGAAGCTTGTTTATACTGCTCTGATCAGCTGCATTGCGCTGAGTGCACTCGCTGCCGCAGAGGAGTGTGTCGCTTGTACTCGGCGGTCCAATATCGTTATAGGGGGGATCCAGCGAAGTTGTAGACGAGCTGGAGGCACGCCTTACGATTGCAACATTTTCAAACATAACTGCGACTTCTGCCGCCTTCCGAGCAAAAGCGCTATCACGCAGGACCTGAGGTCGTGGTGTGGCTCCTTTACAACTGAGAAGGATTACTATCGCATTGTTGAATGGTCTCTCACCAAATGTAAATAGATATCGTTAGAAAATACTCAAATAGCAGTCATCTGCCTCCTGAAGTTAGTCTCCATTTCCTCTCTATTTATCCCCTCACCATTGCGTTTGCTCTAGTTTCCAGATAATGGCAATATATTGTACTGTGTAATACACGATCAGATCCCGGAAGCGAATACCGAGATAACAACTACGTCTCCATTAGTGTTTGGGACTAAGATGTCACTATTGCTACCAAACGACGCCGCGTACATGCCTAATTAACAATAGTGCCGTCTCGAAATGCGCCGTTGGAAGTCCAACTTAATTTTTGGCGCTAAATCACAACCAAAAAGACGCCGTCCATCGGAAGTCTTCCGTCCAATTCGCCATACAATAAACCTTCTCAAAGACATAATTGTTGAGGACATCGATGTAGGCTTCCGCTTTGACCTTCCCTGGGAAGTCCGAGAAGTGCGATTTTCTATCGCATAGCCACACAAGCACATATATATAGCTCATAGCTCCCCGAATAGTTTGGTCGTCACCTGGTAACTTGAACACTTCGTCTGTACCCAGAGTATCATCTCCCATCATCTATTCCGTCCTTGTGACATCTCTATCCTCTACATCCCGCCCTGTCCCTGCCCGCCTGGATTGTCGACATCGCGCCTACCCAGCGTCCTGCACCAACACATCTAGAATCGAAGCAGCACTCCACAACAGCACCACATTAACTACTACAAGAACCATCGCAAGCACCCTCGCAAGAGCCGCCACACGAACGATCTCCTTCGCAGAACCCTCGCCAGATCACCACAGATCCCTATCAAGAACGTTCACGGGAGCGCTCATAGAAGACCTGCACAGCTGCTGAGCAAACCTGTATTTGTTGGCCGAACCAAATTTCTGTAAGGTATATTATTGAACTTTCGCATTCTAGTTAAAAGGTATATGTTATTCTCCATATCTAATTTTCTTAGTTCCCGCCTGATTAGGATTTAACAATCAAGAAAGCCTACCATGCTGAAAGTCACTTTGGTTGTGTTTCTTCCTTTGCTTGCTAGCGCCTGGTCTGTGACATTCTGCACTGAGGACAATTTTAAAGGCCTGTGTAAGAGTGCATATGGTGATACCAATGGATGCAGTAACATCAACAAGGCATTAACGAGGGAAAGAATCGGCTCATTTAGATGGGACGGTCTAGATGGTGTGAACGGAGGCTATTTCGTGTTGTATAATGGAGAAGACTGTATTGGAGAGGTCGTTGGTAGCTCCGACACCAATTGGGAGGTTGAATCAACAAGTTACAGGGGTAGTTTCATGAAGAGCTGGAAAGTCATTGCATAAGCTATTTGCAATGCGCATGATTCGGGGCGACATACGTTTGAACCAGGTTTTATTTTAAAAAAAAATTAGAAACATACATTCATTAAAATGAGTCTCTTTTTTTGTCATGAATATTATTCAGCACCCCTCCCTATCCCAGGCGTGCATGACTCCTATGTGAAACCCGCCAAATAAGGTCTATCCCCGGGTGGAGCAGTTATAGTAAATAATATTGAGACAAAAGAGACTGCAATAAAAAAATGGCTCGAAAAAGGGCTGTGTCATTTTTTGTTATTTATTATACGTGCGGAGAAGAGAGGAGTGCGCAAGGGACAGGAAAGTACGGGAGACAGGATGAGGAAAAAAAATTGCAGATTGAAGAACAGAGAAGGGAGAAGGCAGCTCTATTTATGGCTGAAAAGTGCGAATAGAAAGAACAAGAACACAGGACAGGGTTAGAATGTGGAATGGGAATTTGAAATGGAGAAAGTCAAATGGAGAAGAGGCGAATGGGCAATAGCAAGATGACAAATAGGTGGAGAAACTTTGAATAGGAAGGTTTAGGCAAGTAACCTTTCACAGGTACTGGGCCTAGGACAAGAGGAGTGATTGAAGCAGAACATACTTTGCAAATTACGATAAAAAGTGCCTAGAGTTGGTGCGGAGGTCGCAGGACGAATATAATCCAGGCAGAAATTAATCCAGGTAGAAACGTGGCAGCAGCCACAAAATACGGACTGTGGAAAGCGATGGGAGGCAAAAGTGAACGGGTTGGTTCGGAAAAGGGCTGTTTCATTTTATTTTCTCTTGGGAAGGAGAGAAGGGAGAGGAAAAAACCACCTATGTAAAAAGAAATGCGGGTATGCTCGGTGTTGTCGTTGGGATAGAACAATCGACAACACCGCCAATACCTCGTGTCGTGCTTGTGCTGACACTAGTTAAATATTTCTTGTGCTCTTTAAGCCAAGGAGCATAAGAAAAAAAAGAAAAAGAAAGAGATATTGTTCTTTCGAGACAAATCTTTACAACAATGGGCTTGATCTCAGTAGATCGTAGTAACAAGGCTACTCTACTGCTTACAATACCCCGTTCAGTTAAAGTCGTCTGCAATGGATTTATTTCTTCCAATATTTGAAATTAACATTAGCAGGAACTTCACAAAGCCTTTCCATTCTGCAAGATAATCCCACGTAGCATGATTCAGGAGCCGAAGCTCTGTTCGTATTCAACTAAACATCGGAAAAGGCGGTAATCGTCGCGTTCTAGTACGAATTCTGGCTTAGAGGCATTCAGCCATAATCCAACGGATGATAGCTTCGGGCCATTGCTTGCTCAAACAGGCCCAGTTATCCGTGTGAACGGTTCCTCTCGCACCAAGTTCAATTACCATTACCATCAGCATGATAAACCTAACCTTACTCACGACGGTCTAAACCCAGCTCACGTTCCCTATTAGTGGGTGAACAAATCCAACGCTTACTACATTCTGCTTCAGTACGATAGGAAGAACCGATATCGAAGGATCAAAAGGCAACGTCGCTATAAACGCTTGGCTGTCACAAGCCAGTTATTATTATCATAATTATTACTATTATTATTATCATTGCTGCTATCATTGTTACTATCATTATTATTATCATTATTATTATTAATTATTGGCCCAGCTGAGGTTATTCTTGGATTGTTAAGCGGGGAAGGATGGAGTTTTATTTCCACGCGAGCTTCGGTTGTGTCGTGTTCATAATCAAAAAAAAAATAGCGAGTGGTTGTAAGATAAACCCTTGCGTTTTGAGGGGAAAAAATTCGACAAAACGTAAAGTATAATGTTATGACACTACTGTTTTTCACTTATGGATGTTTCTCATTTATGTTGAGGGCGCTGGGATGAGTGTGGATGATCTGTCACGCAATAGCATGGCCCGGTTAACTTTTAAATTTCTCTCTCCAGAAAACAATTTCGACATATTCATTCCAGCTGGACCAGTTAAGAGAGCTGCTAAATTTTTATTTTCTTCGTGAAAGGCACAGTATCATTATTATTACTGAAAAGGAATCTGAGTTTAGATTTTGTTTGATTTCAGATTAGCGGCTAATTTCTGCCAGTGAAACGCGCCCAAAGCTGTATTTTGCTTGAACAAACCGCGGTACAGCTCGTGAATAAGAAGCGCTTTGTTTCTTCCTTAAGTTTTGGGGTGAAATTTCACCCCAAAACGTGTAGTGCTAAATTAATCACACACTGGGATCTCGGCTAATAGCAGCCATAAAAGATCAGAGTATGGTGTATCCCCAGGAAAAAAAAAAAAAAAAACTCAGAAGACCTAAGATGGAGGGCCGTTATTCTTTACAGCTTCATGGCCGTCGACATCAATCAGGTTACATACCAGCCCGCC